GAACCCCATCTGTGTGGTCCTTGCATGGACCCCTACATCATGCAACAAATCCGTTTTTGAAAAGCTCCACGACCGGGATGGCCTCTGTCGTGACTTTCGTACGACTCTTTTTAAAGGGTCGCGTTATGGGGCGCGCGGCGGTCCTGGCGCGCTTAGCGGCTACGGTCGAACACTCTGGAAGCCGCTAGGGATGCAGAGTCGGCGTCGACTCTGGCTTCTCTCTCACTTCGACGTCTGCCGCCGTATCGACTGGTCGCTCCTTCGCTTGTCGCCTTGTGCCAACTTCACTATCCAACTGCAATGGCAACACTTCAATATCCAGGAGCCGTACTCGACAGCAAGCAGCACTGCCTCCGGACGAAGACATCCCAGGTAACCACTGGAGGAGGAGGAGCACCCGAACCCCTTGGGCAGCCAAGGGTGAGGGTGTGTCCAAGGCCCCCAGTGGGCTGTACCCTCGTGGCCCGTAGGCAGTTCTCTGGCAGGGTTCGTTAGTAGGTTAGGGGTCGTACCTTACTTTAGTAGTTTTCCTTTTTAGTAGTTTTCCTTTTCATTATTATTGTTGCTCACAGTTATTCGTAGAGTGGTAAATTTAATAATTACTTGTGTTTTGTCGTGTAGCAAGAGTGGTTGATCCACGTCATTTCTCACATATTTATCTCATCACAGTTTTTCATAGTTCATAGTATAATCCATGATGCAATCCATGATGCAATGGTCGTTGGTCCTAGTAGGATGTCAATGGCGTGATAAAGGGGACGCCCGTAAGAGCAGTTATCCTTAGGTAGGGAGTGAGGACAGGGCGTAGGTGGAAGGGTAGTAGGTATATGACCGTAGGGTACATTTAGCGCAGGGGCAGTAAGGGCCTACCGGTAGCGCTTAGCTCCTTAGCACCCGCGTGGCAGCACCGTAGCGAGCATAGGCAAGCGTTCGTAAGTCCTCCTGCAACCCTCGCGCCGAGGGCGGATCCTTTCCCCTCCAGGCACCGATGCGACGTCTGAGGGCTGGTCACCTGGTAGAGGCCAGGTGTGAGGGGAACAGGACGCCACCCCCGGCACGACATGGTGCATACGGCTGGGGTTCAACGTGTGGGAAACCCACGTTGGGCCTTAGCGATCGAACCTTGTCTACGCTTGCCACGTACCAGTAGGTCTAGGTAATGGTCGTAGGGCGTCTGCGTTACCATCTGGTTGACACGTTCGCTTAGTTGCCCTGCGTACGCTATAACTGGGGTATATCCCTCTCTCGCCCATGTGGGGCCGTGAACTCTTACCCAAGTCGACTGGGTGGCACAGCCGCATCTTGGGGACAGCCGTGATACGTCGAGCCACGGTTAACTCTTGCAAGGTGGGCGAGGGGAATGGAAGCATGCCGTAAAAAGCATGTGGGAGCCCCTCCTATCATGTCGCTGCATACAAACTTGGGTCGGCGGAGATGCCGTATAATAATTGAGCCCTTGCCCGTAACTTCACATGCTCTGGGGCCTTAGCTAGGAGGCATAGGCGTCACGTAGCAATCGCTGTCAACCAGATTTGTGCGCTCACAGCTCTCCTGTTTTCTTCTATTGCTTCCTCGTTTCTTTTCCGGTCATATACCTTTGGGTAGATACCTATGCCTTGTCTTCGCCCCTCCTCGTGCTCATTTCGTCATTGCATAGTGCTTGGCCAGCACCCCGCATACGTAGTTTTCACCCCTGCCGTAGGTAGCTATCGGCCAATAGCTACTCTACGGCCTAGCAACAATTCATAATTTTTTAGTTTTAGAATCGGGTACGGCAGTTACCGCCTCCTGCCAGCGCTTATAATGTCCACCATCAGTACGCACAAAGCCAACATGATCAAGGCAGTCGCTGCATGGGAAACCGTAAGAGGTAAGATTCCCGCATCTTTGTTCCATCCTATAGATGCGAGTGTAGGTGACCCGCAGTCGACCTTTGAAGTGCGCCATGACTCTTTAGAATATCATTTGGCACAAGTTCGCGCAGCACTCGACGTGCTTAAACAGCGAAGATCAGCATTCGTAGCCTTCATGGCTAAGTCATCGAAGTCAGATGCTGATAGTAGGCGCGTACCAGCAATGTTTTCAGGAAACTCGCATAGACGAGGCAATTGTTGCAGCCGAATCTATCGTAGCGTCTCTTTCCGCAGGTTTAGAAGAACTAGGAGCGCTCGCAGAGAGCAGTCCATCTGTAGCTCTCTTTGAAACGGTTGAGGATGCTCCTGTACGAGTTCAAGAACAACTACAGGAGGACCCTACAGCCACGTCTAACGCGGGTCCATCGTATGCACAGCCGCAACAATATCTTAGGGCACCCAACCTTTCGTCGGGCTATGGTCCATCATATTTCGCAGGCCCAGATGTTCCCCTGTTTGGTCCCATGCCAGCCCAGCCAGCTGTACAGCTTGGCAAGCTCGCATTGGAACCATTCACGGGAGACATCACACAGTTTCGTAGGTTTTGGTGTGCCTTCGAACTTGCGGTGCACAACGATCCAAATACTCCATCAACGTATAAGTTTTTGTACTTACAAAGTTTGCTAAAGGGCGATGCCCAAGTAGTACTACAGGATCTCGACCCGGAAGAATGCAACTACGCGGAGCTGGTGAAGGCTCTTAAGAAGAGGTACGACCGTCCTTATCGGACGCGAGCTACCCTTCACAAGCAGCTTCAGCAGCTTCCCGTAGCTCGAAATACGGGCCCAGATCTTCGTAGTACCTGGTTTCGTGTGTCCGGTATTCTCCACGGATTACGACGTTATGAAGACTTCAGCAGAGTTCTGCCGATTCTTGACTTAGTCAAGAGTAAATTTCCTGCAGAAATTCAGCAGAAGCTTCATGATCTTGAGTTTCAGACTAATTCCGACTTTCGATCTCACGCAGGTCATGGAGAAGCTCGATCATATCATTTCGTCTAAGGAGAAGTACGAAGACTCCACCACGTTAACCGATAGCCTCTCTGTAAGTACATCTCGTTCCCGCAGTCCATCGCGGCGTTCCTCTCCTCCGAGCCGTAGTCCACTACGGCATTCTTCTCCGTACCGCAGTCCATCGCGGCCGTCGTCTTCGTCGCAGCGCAGTCCATCGCGCTATCATTCGCCGTCTCGGAGGTCGCATGATTCAACTCAGTGTTGCTTCTGCGACTCGCCGGACCATAGTTCCACTCGCTGTCATCTCGATGCGTCAGTCGCCATACGTCGTACCATCGTTCAGTTGCGTGGACTCTGTTGGAGATGCTTGAGGCATCGTCACACATCTCGCTCTTGTAGCTATCCTTCGTGTCGCGTCTGCAGAGGTGATCACCACGAGATCCTCTGCAGCAAGTCGTCATCACACGGTCATCAATCTAGGAGAGATTGGCGTAGCGATGAGTATCGTCATCGTCATCGTCTCCCTACCGGTATCCGTCGCGCAGTCCATCTCGGGATAGTGGGCGTGATCGTAGTTCGCCTCCTCGTGGCGAGTCCACTTCACATTCGTACGATGGTAGTTCGTCGAGTGAGAACTGAATCCGTTCGGTAGACGTTCGCACGACTAAGGGTAAGGTCAAAACAAGGTCAATTTCGCAACTCTATCCCTTAGAAATACGTGCTAAAACAACACCGTTGACTACTAAGCGTTCCCAACCATCTCCTAGTATTCAACGCGTACAACCGTCTCGAACGGCTAAATCTCAACATAAATACATTCGTAGTAGTGTAAACTAATCCTTTTCAGCTTTTTCAGGCATAATTCCTTCAGCATATACGTTTCGTAGCGTTCAATGCGTGCAAAAGTACAACCCGTCGTTGAGACGCGCCGCACGAGCACGCGACGCGGTCCGCCGCGAAGCGTGTGTTTTGATTACGCAATTGCCATTTTCGTATATGCTGCGTTGCCGTAGGGCCGCTGTTCGTTCACTTAGTGAACTTTATCACTATTACGACAATATTCTACTATTCTGACTACTATACTGTTATTCGACGTATATTTCCTAATTACGACGTGCTCGTAGGAAGATGGATCGCGATCAGGTACCCTTTGTTTCCTTTCTTAGTTGTTACGTGTGTAACTGCGCTTAGGTCATTTATATATGTGTTCACTCGCCCGCTTAGCTGCTTTTCAGCTGCTAAGCAGCTGAAAAATGCACGAGCATCAAAAGAACATTCATCAACACTCGACTCAAAACCATTACCCCTGAATATCTCACAAAAGAAGATGGCTCTGTTGTCAGGAATAAAAAAGGAATGGAAGGAGAAATTCGAAACTTTTTCCAAGACCTCTTCTCCACAAAAGTGCTGGTGCAACCTAACATGATATTTTGTGAGGATGATGATGACACACTTGCAAGAGATGAGTGGAAAGTACTTGAAACGGAAGTATTGGAAGGCTATTCAACAGATGAAAGGAGGAAGAGCGCCTGGACCAGATCGAATTCTGGCAGAACACCTGAAATGTCTGAAGGAGTTCATTGCCCGCCCTTTGGCAGACATTTTCACGGAAATGCTGGCGTCGGGAACTGTACCAAAGGAATGGCTGGGCTCGAACACCATTTTGATCCACAAAAAAGGACCGCGTGATATACTGGCCAACTATCGTCCTATAGCGCTCCTGTCCACAATACTCAAAATCTTCTCACGTATCATCCTCAACCGCATAAGTGGAACACTCAATATAAATACGAGAAGAGAACAAGCCGGATTTCGTGAAGGCTTTTCAACCATCGATCAGATACATGTGATTTCTCAACTTGCGGAAAGATGTCGAGAGTACCGAATCCCGCTATGTTATCTTTTTGTTGACTTCAAAAAGGCATTTGATACGGTCGAACACCAAGCGGTACTAAACGCACTTGCCACGTTCGGAATTTCAAGAAGATATATTGAAATAATACGACAATGTAACACGAGCTGCTACACTGACATAAAATTGCTCAAAGAACCAGTTCGTGTAAAGATCCAACGTGGCGTACGGCAAGGCGAGGTCATCTCTCCAAAACTATTCTCTGCAGCTTTAGAACTTGTAATGCGGCAAATCGAGCTGCCTTGTGGCATTGAGATAGATGGCGAAAGACTTCAATACTTGATGTTTGCAGACGACATAGTCTTGATTGGAAGCGAACCGAGTGCACTCGAAAGCTCCCTGAATATTTTGAGCGAAGCCTCCCAATCCATTGGACTTGTAATACATCCAGGAAAAACCAAATGGATGAAAAACAACTACACAAATGACTATCGTTTATGCATGAAAGGATCAGTCATTGAAGAAGTCTCATCGTTCACGTATCTTGGCCAAGCAATAACGATGGATAATGATCTTACAGGAGAAATCAGCCGGCGTCGAAAGGCGGGATGGGCCACATTTAACAAATACCGAGATGTTCTCACCGATAGACGGATTGAAACTCAAATAAGATCTCAGGTGTTCAACACCCATGTTCTACCAGCACTGGTATATGGAAGTGAGACATGGAGCACAATCAAAGATGAGGAGAGAAGACTAGCTGCTACGCAAAGGGCAATGGAGCGAGCAATGTGTCGAGTAACACTAATGCACAAGATCCCTGCTCGCGAAATCCGAAGACGGACGGGCGTAAAGGATGTTATCGAAACCATTTATGACTCGAAAAAGAGATGGGCTGGACACGTAGCTCGTCTTGACGATAACCGATGGACATATCGCGTAACCAACTGGTATCCTCGTGGTGTAAAAAGGCCACGGGGAAGACCCCCAGCCAGGTGGAGTGATCCTTTTAAGAAACTATATGGACAGAGATGGCAACAAATGGCAAGAAATCGTGATGAATGGCATAGATGTGTCCTGCAAGGATGGCGCAACCAACCTTGAAGAGCGGACATCAAGGTATTCAAGGTAAGGTATTCACTCGCCCGCAGCGTTTTTCTCATTTAGTATCTTATTCGTTTTCTTTGCGGTTTTTTTAAAATGTGTGGTATTTTTTCGTAGTTTGTAGTTACTAAGTAGTTTCTCTTTGCCCGCAGCGTAAAAGTTAAATTGCGTAGCAGTGAGTTCTTTTTTTGCGTACTCCTTTCCTTTTCTATTCTCCTACATACATTTTTATATACAACATTTAGTATAGTTTTCTATTTCTTTTTCCTCTGTCTGTTCGCGCGCTCACTGCTTATTTCATCCTTAAGTTACACACATAACTGATCGCGACCCATCTTGCTACTTTCCCTATTGTTCCTCTATTACGGCGTAGGACGTCCATCACATTTTTATGCTGCGTAGTTGCTGCCAAAACATATCAAGCCTAGGCTTGGTCTGTTTCGGTAGTAAATACGCAACATATTTCGTATTCAATAATATCATTTAAACTGTGCATTCGTAGCACAGATTTATTTTGCTCTAGTTTAGCGTAGTACTACACTATCAACTACGCTTAGTAGTAGTATTTCTTTCATGTACGTAGTACAACTTCTCTTTCTTTCCTGTTTAGATAGTTTAATTTCCTTCTCAACTTTCCTATCGTAGTTTAATTCAAACTATTTATTTACCCACTTCATATTTAACCCATTTTTCATCACAGCATTTAATCACGTCATATTTATCATTTCATAGTTATCATATTTTTGTTATTCTCATTTACTCACCTCATATTTATCACATTTTTGTTATTTTCATTTAGTCACTTCATATTTAACATTTCATATTTACCCATTCTTAGCTCTCCTTTTGGTAATTAGGCGTATAACATCTATATCGTGCGAGTTTACAACGCGTTCCCGTGGTATTCGTTCATGATAGCGTAGAATCCATAAAGTCCATCTTACCCCTTTTCAGGTAATTGCGTTCTCGAGGCGTACCCGTCTCATTGCTATCATGCCGTCACTCGCCACGTAGTGAGGAGGTTTAGCCCAGTAGGCGTAGTCCGCCGCAACGTCGCGATCGCTCGCTCAGCCCGCAGCCATACGACCATCGGCTTCGCCACTGCTATACAGTGCATTACTGCTGTTGCCCTTCGCGTTCGGGCCGCGACCACCACCATCATTATCGCGTACGTTCGCCTAGCGAACATTCACCTCCTCGTAGGGAGCGCCGTCGTACTCCGTTGCTGTCGCCGTCACCATCACCCTCTCCGCGTAGGCATTCTGCAGACTGTCATAGGGTGCGCTCTCCATCACAGCGCCCCACTCGCGCAAACCTCTCTCCTGCTCGCCCCCAGGATGGATTGCTTAGGCAACCCATTTTTGAGCGCAGTCAATCAGGATATGGTTGAGCAAGAGGACCCCTCTCTGATGACTCCTCGGGCGACTGATGACGTTGTCGCCTACAAGCGACAACGTCATCAGTCGCCCGAGGAGTCATCAGAGAGAGGTGAGTTTGAGGAGAAGCAAGCAAGGGAGAGAGGTGTGACTTATAGTCGCTCCTCCCTCATTTGTTAGTTGATGTAGTGAGAGTTGCTACCTTTGGGTAGCCCCCTTGGGAGCGGTGGGAGACCGCTATTAACTTTTTTCTTGTCCCTGGGTTTCCTTTTTTGCCTTTCCCTTAACTGGCCCGTGGGTTCTTTCGCTTAGCGAGGTAAAATTCTCCCCCTCGCACAAAATTATCCCCTTAGTGTGAGGCAAAACTCACACCGTAGGCACGGAAACCACCCGCAGTTGTTGATTCTTCTCGTCGCCGAACACCGTCAACGTCACGCTATCAACATCACGTTATACGCCGAATCCAACTGTGCCGTCGCCTACTTCTACTACGTCATGTCGAGTTTATCCGCCGTCGTCAAGAACATCCAGTGGTTATCGATAATGCCGTAGTCTACACTTCGTCGTCGCTCCCGTCGATCGTAGTGTGTGTATATATTGTTGTATATTTGTATAGTTATGTAGGTAACATATTGTATAACTGAAGCACTGGCCCTGAAGCCGATCGTCAATTCCATCCCCACGAACCCTTGCCTTAGGCCCAGTAGGTCGTCCGTCGATTGACTGACTGTGTCTGTATTTCTAGTGGCGTAGTCGCCGAGGTAAGAACGAGGCGTGCAGTACCTAGCGTAGGCCAGGACCCATTCGTCTTCTTGCCGCCCCCAGTGTCGTGACTTTCGTACGACTCTTTTTAAAGGGTCGCGTTATGGGGCGCGCGGCGGTCCTGGCGCGCTTAGCGGCTACGGTCGAACACTCTGGAAGCCGCTAGGGATGCAGAGTCGGCGTCGACTCTGGCTTCTCTCTCACTTCGACGTCTGCCGCCGTATCGACTGGTCGCTCCTTCGCTTGTCGCCTTGTGCCAACTTCACTATCCAACTGCAATGGCAACACTTCAATATCCAGGAGCCGTACTCGACAGCAAGCACTACTGCCTCCGGACGAAGACATCCCAGGTAACCACTGGAGGAGGAGGAGCACCCGAACCCCTTGGGCAGCCAAGGGTGAGGGTGTGTCCAAGGCCCCCAGTGGGCTGTACCCTCGTGGCCCGTAGGCAGTTCTCTGGCAGGGTTCGTTAGTAGGTTAGGGGTCGTACCTTATTTAGTAGTTTTCCTTTTAGTAGTTTTCCTTTTCTATTATTGTTGCTCACAGTTATTTCGTAGAGTGGTAAATTTAATAATTACTTGTGTTTTGTCGTGTAGCAAGAGTGGTTGATCCACGTCATTTCTCACATATTTATTCATCACAGTTTTTATCATAGTTCATAGTATAATCCATGATGCAATCCATGATGCAATGGTCGTTGGTCCTAGTAGGATGTCAATGGCGTGATATAGGGGACGCCCGTAAGAGCAGTTATCCTTAGGTAGGGAGTGAGGACAGGGCGTAGGTGGAAGGGTAGTAGGTATATGACCGTAGGGTACATTTAGCGCAGGGGCAGTAAGGGCCTACCGGTAGCGCTTAGCTCCTTAGCACCCGCGTGGCAGCACCGTGACGAGCATGGGCAAGCGCTCGTAAGTCCCCTGCAACCCTCGCGCCGAGGGCGGATCCTTTCCCCTCCAGGCACCGATGCGACGTCTGAGGGCTGGTCACCTGGTAGAGGCCAGGTGTGAGGGGAACAGGACGCCACCCCCGGCACGACATGTTGGCATAAGGCGAGAAGCGAAGGAGCGACCAGTCGGTACGGCGGCAGACGTCGAAGTGAGAGAGAAGCCAGAGTCGACGCCGACTCTGCATCCCTAGCGGCTTCCAGAGTGTTCGACCGTAGCCGCTAAGCGCGCCAGGACCGCCGCGCGCCCCATAACGCGACCCTTTAAAAAGAGTCGTACGAAAGTCACGACAGCCTCCCTCGTTAGAGCCACCTAGCTAGGGTGAGCAGCAAGTGGCTTTTTTTGTAATCCGCATACACATCGCGTTGAGCAGAGGAAGATTTAGCCTCCAGTATGGGTTTGGGGGCGGAGGATGACCAGAAGGAGGTGGGGTTAGCGAGAGCAATCAAGAATGTGTTCAATAAAACGCACGATCATCTGTTACGAATGGCGAATAGGCTATCCATGTACAGGGGGGAAGCAAAAAAGAGCACTTCTCTTTTTCCACTTTCAAAGCGATATAATTTACACTTTATCAAATTCTAAGTGGTCACTTTCACCACCTTATTCAGCAATACAGTGTCACTATCACGATACTCCGCTACAGCCTTCACGACGCCACGACCCGGTGTCTGAGTTCAGTGGAGTCGTTGATTTCTCCGCCACTGTCAAACCACCCTGTTGAGCTAACCCGGTAATCGAGAGGATTCAGGTCAGGTGACACACTTACCAGGAAAGGTCAACAGGTCAGCCTGGCCATTTGCAATGAGATGCACATCACTGTACTCATCTTGACACGGTGAACTCAGAACTGTCTTCAAAATTTGCAGAACGATTCTCTGAGCGGAGTTATGGAGGTTTTTCTTTACTGTTTTTCTTCTTACGGGCGCGCTGGCGCCGAAGCGTTGGCACATGTAGCGCGACTCACAGCGCTCTTCGCGCAAAACAGGTATCATATTCGTGTTCAGGGGGTCAAATAACCCCTAGAGACGTCACCTTAGCAAAATCCGAGCTTCTGACTCAACTTCGAAAAAATGGGGTATGGAGGATGACTGATAGATAGCCGACAGCGATACTACGGCTAGCCTACTGATGACGACTGGTCTTCGAGCTGAAATAACAATCATGTCTTTTCGCGAACAACAGTACCTGGCTTACTTATTTGTGCCGTCTGCATCATTTTCTTGACTATCGGGAGGAAATCCCATTCCGAGATCAGTCATCGATGGTAGGTAAGCTCCAATCTGCTGCTCTTACCCATGGAATAGCCCACATTTTCCAAGTGAGGTCGAAATATCAGATTCGGCTAGAAAGTTGTCTCCAGGGGTAATTTAACCCGATGAGCATGAATATGATGGTATTTCATTGCAAAAATCCTTATGACATGTGCTACGGGGGGGACAAGCACGAGCACTCTTTCAGGCCATAATGGGTCTACACTTTCGAAAAAAACTGGTCGCAGTTTCCTTACAGGATAGTGCAGGCGAGCAGAGATGTTAGAAGCTTTGTCGGCCATGTTCTTGGACAAATGCAAAAAAGGCACCCTGCCGGGAACCGATCCTACGACGTCTCGCCTAGTAAACCCGCTCGCTATCCGTTGCGCTCTGCTGCCACGTTTCAGAACGACTCCATACATAAATGTAAAGACGCTTCCACGTTTCCTCGCGATAGCATGTGAAACGACCATGCGGGGATAAAACCCTCCATAACTCCGTTCAGAGAATCGTTCTGCAAATTTTGAAGACAGTTCTGAGTTCACCGTCCCAAGACGCGTACAACGGTGTGCAGCTCATTGGAAATGGCCGGGCTGACCTGATGACCTTTCCTGGTTAGATATTCCGTCTTCTTCAGGTTCTCAACGCCCTTCGATTCCAAGTAGGCGAGAGTTTTTCCAACGCCCTTCGTTCCAAGTGCTGGCACCCAATCCGCTAGCAGTATCCGCAAGTTTCTAAGGCGGTATATGCAAATACATGAGGGTAGGGTGTTGCTCTCGAGCGTTCAATGTAACAGTTAACATCCACCTTCAGTCCGGGGTCCACGAAAAGAAGACCCGTCTTCCCATTCCAGGAACGTCCGGTCCATACCATCAACCCGCGCCTTGGCGACTGCGGTGAAGATGATGTCCTAGACCGTAGCGACGTTGTCGGAGCTGCTCGATGTTGGAGGTCTTCCAGATCAAGAGTGCCGGTCTCCAGGTAGCTGTCCATGGGTGACTCCATACAAGAAGTTTCGCAGCTGTTTGGAGGTGACGTGAATTCCATAGGCCTTCTCCAGTCAGGCTGCGATTGGAGATGGCTTCATATTTTGGTGTACATGAAGGTGATGGACGAGAGCCTGCTCCTGCTTATCGAGGAACATCTTGGGTATCTTCCGCCCTGGTACTCGTATCCACGTCTTCTGTCTGGGCTGCGTAAACTTTGCTGATATGTGACTCGGCCAAAGTGTTTTTTTGCCCCCCCCCCCGTAGGCAGGACAAAAAGAAGCTCATTCGCGTACTGCCCATGAGCTCTGATGAGACAAATGTTGATCGAGTTGAGAGCTAAACCTTATTGCATGTTCCTTCGTTATGGGTAACCAGCCGACTTCGGCTGACACCGGCGCGCCTTCTTTTGAGATACTGCGCGGCTCCGCCGCGCTTACCTTCTTCCACACATTTCATTAGCCGCCTAGTATCAGGCTCTTCTTTTACCCGAACAGGTGGTCAACATTCTTTGACCAATAGCATCATACCTGCTCCTTTCAACACTATTACGGTGTATGGAGTGGTGGTAAGGAGCGTTGATCAAGTGGACAGATGAGAGAAAAGCCGGGTATTAGTCGAGCATTTGATCATACGAATGCAGGTAAGCGCGACGCCCCGCAAAGCCGGGCCGTATCACATAGAGGTCTGGAG